TCTCACACCTGTTCTATTACACCAATATATGCAAAACACATAAATCTCACACCTGTACTATATTACACCAATATATGCGAAACACATAAATCTCACACCTGTACTATATTACACCAATATATGCAAAACACATCATTCTCACCTGTTCTATATACCTATGCAGCATACCTGTACAATACGACAGTATACCTATAGAATATACGTGTATAAATATTCAATATACCTGAATATATCAGTACAATATACCGGTATATCTATGCAATACGCATTTACAATATATCTGTGCAAAATACCAGTACAATATACCTCTACAATATGCTGTAATATTCCTACACCGTGTACCACGCCGTACACATTTACAGTGTACCATTACTCCACTGCACACGTGTATATATTTCACCTGCACAATACAACTTTATCTGAATCCCAGCACACGTGTGTGCGTCACTGTGCCATCAAACTATCTTTTATTGTTGTGGATTGTATCAAATATATTGTGATCGGCTAGATTCAGGTGGTTGCCTGCTGGCAATAGGATTATAATCTCTCTATATTAATCTATATAGTAAAACTTTTCTATAAGTATTATCTAGTAGTACTACTATTCTATACTATATTTTAATCATTAATTAATTATATTAGTAATTATCACATTACTATAATTCGGTTCTTCATATCGGTTTCTAGGTGTCGAAAAATTATCCGTGCCTGGACGAATTACTCGCCGCGCCACCACCGGTTACCACCACTTTATCTGCCAACTTGCTACGAATAAAGAAGGCGAGATACGAGCTGGGATACCTGATGAACGGAGGTGACTATCGATCTGTGCTTTGCCCTGCAGGAAATCCTTCCCTCCACCCCAGCCCCCTCCTCCATCACCTTAATTCATCCTCCGCGCTATCCCCTCAACCTATCCTTCTCTCCACCCCAGCCCCCTCCTCCATCACCTTAATTCATCCTCCACGCTATCCCCTCAACCTATCCTTCCCTCCACCCCAGCCCCTTCCTTCATCACCTTAATTCATCCCCCGCGCTATCCCCTCAACCTATCCTTCCCTCTACCTCAGCCCCTTCCTCTATCACCTTAATTCATCCTCCGCGCTATCCCCTCAACCTATCCTTCCCTCTACCTCAGCCC